AGAATTTTAAAAACCACAGAGACTATTGTGTTTTCCCACTCCTTACAAATACTACCTCTGGACTCCTGGGCAAGTTTATCAATGCCATTTACTTTAAAGAACAACTCCCACACCCAACTGTGAAACTAGGCAGGCTTTGCTTTGGCTTTGCCTTTTAATGCTTGACCTCGAATGAAACCAATCCATAGGGAACCATCTCCTCACACTGAGGGGGACCCTCCTTTTCCCCTTCTCTCTGTCTCAGGGCTGGGTTGTAAAATATCTTGTTTATGCACAACCATCAACAAGCCATTCCTCAATCTAATTCAAGCACCCAACAAGTCTCCACCTCAGGTTCCTGGCCACTGCTCCTTCAATTGACCAGCACCGACCTCAAAGCCCTGGGACAGCGTGAGGCCCTCTGCACACTCACACACCAGCTTCCGCAGGTAACTCTGCAGCTGGCTCCCGCTGTCCCGCTCCCTCAGAGATGACCACAGTCAGTCAAAATCTGTTTCTCAGCGTCTCAGCACACAGCTCAAACGGATTCTGACCCTTGAGCTGCCCAGCAGCTGAGCGCTACACTAGGAAAAAAACCAATGCCACTGCAAGTGTCACAACCTTCTCCTGAAGGTCATTCGAGACACTGATAGCACCCTAACTCTCTCCCATCACACACACATGCACGCACACACACACTCACACACACACACACACACACACACGCACACACTCGCACGCGCACACACACACGCACAGACTCACACATGTACGCATGCACAGTAACACACATGCACACACGCACGTACACATGCACACGCTCACACACATATATACACACATTGACAAATGTATGCACATACATATACCCGTGCACATGTGTGCATGTGTGCATATGTATGCATACAAAACACATGCACTCATACATATAAACACACACAGATGAGCCTCATTTTATTGAGCTTCGCTTTACTGTGCTTCACAGATAACGCATTTTTTCCTCCATATCCAGGCAAGACCCTCCAATAGCAAAAGTATTAAAACCCATTGAAGGCTCAGATGATGGTTACCATTTTGAGTCAGATATGTTCTTCTTTCTTAAACATAGTATGATTGCACACTTAGACTCTAGTATAATATATGTATGTATGTATAGTATATGTATGTATTATATATGTATTATGTGTGTGTGTGTGTGTGTGTGTGTGTGTGTGTGTAACTTGTACACACACTGGGAAACCTAAAGCTCATGTGACTTGCTTTATTGTGATATTTGCTTTATTGTGGGGTGTGGAACTGACCCCACAATATGTCTGAGATATGCCTTTATCTCCTTTTGTTTTTCCTCTGGGGAACCCTAAAACATTATCAAAGAGAGAGTTAAGAGGGTGCCTTCCACACTTGCTATATTGTTTGGCGTTTATATCACTAGCAGAAAAGAGCATGACTGATTACATAGTGACAGACCCCATTAATCAGCCTAATGTCAGCATCCACTTGGCACCACCTTATTCAGGTATCAGGGATGTAGCTTAGGATACGTGTAAGGGAGCAGGACTTCACAATGGGATCCAGGACCCTACTCCCAGCAAGTGCACTGTCAGCAGAAGGCAGGAACCTGTCCTGGTTGCTTCGATGGTTGTTAAGAGGAAAGGAGAGTGACTTACAGTCCAAAAATAAAAGCAGGAAGAAACCCCCAAAAGCCAAAACAAAAACAAAAACCAGAGGACATGAAATGTCCATCCAAACAAAATCATCTAGAGATTCGGGGGTGAAATTTAATTTCTTCAGAGGACTTTGCCAGGTTTTCCTGACTTCTCGTCTCCCCACTGCTGCCGGGTATTTGCTTACATGGAAGACACGTGTCTAGTGCAGGGTCGGCAAACTCATTGGTCAACAGAGCCAAAGAGCAACAGTACAATGACTGAAATTTCTTTTGAGAGCCAACTTTTTAAAACTTAAACTTCTAACACCACTTCTTCAAAATAGACTCACCCAGGCCGTGGTATTTTGTGGAAGAGCCACTCAAGGGCCAAAGAACTGCATGTGGCTCATGAACCGCAGTTTCCTGACCACTGAGACTCCAGTGTGCATCATTCTAATCATCATTTGTATTCATCCCCATAGTTCTACCTTTTCCAATCCCAAAGGGGTATGGCATGACTGCCACACGGATAAAACTTAAAACCATGTCCTCTGTTTCTCTCAAGTTTCAGTCACTCTCAGCACAATCTCTTGAGCCCTGTTCCTGGGAATTCGGGAGGCTGTCTTTGATAACCTTCCCACTGAACTGGCCTGTTTGCCAGCCTGACTCTCAGCAGCACGGAGGAAAGACATGTGGAGTGAACAAGTACGACTGGCAACTCCAAGCATCCCTCCTGGAGAAGCAGCTCATCGAAATACTCAGCTCAATGCCAGCTGGGGCGCCTCCCAGCGGCCAAATGCTGGGACTGCATGCTGACTCCTTAAAACATCAGCCATTGCTTTTCTTGTCTTCTTGAAACTGTAGCTTGATGACTGAAAATTGAGACATAAGATATTTTTAAAATCATTTGAGCCTAAAAGTATGTCTTAACCTAAAATATAAGAAAACTGTAGAAAATAGGCCTCTAGGATCCATCTCCAGCATAGTCAACGTTTAATGGAAACGGCTACTGAGTCTCCCAGGGCTAACAGAATGTAGGGAGGACGGGAGAGGATGGAAGAACAAAGAACTGTGAATGTGGGCCAGCATCATGGTGGAAATACACTGACCCTTCTGCCCCCTTCCTCCACACTCACACTCCTCAGGCACCGCCTCAACTAGACAGGAGGAGGTAGAGACAACTAGGAAAGGCCTCTGCCCATTTTTAAATGGCCCAATGGGAGACAGCAAGACCTAGGTGATGCATGAGGAAACTGTTAACCCGGTAGTACTCAACCAATGAGGAGTCTGGAGGAGGAACTCTCCACCTTGGAGATAATTAGGCTGTGATTGCTGCCCCAGGGGTGAATGTATAGCTGGACCTACACCCGCTCTCAGGAACTAATACGTTCTCGTTTTAGTCATATTTCTGTCTCTGAGTCTGTTACTTTAATTCAGATAGGTGAGCATTTCTTCCAATAACTGAGGAGAAAGCTATATTTGAGGGTAAGGATGCCTAATAAACATAGTCAAGACCTTTTGAAGGATTTTATAGTTTTGACACCTACATGGATTTTGGTCCAAGCTTCACTCTTTCACTAAGAAGTCAAATGTGCCTGGGACTGCCAAAGCAGAGACAATTAGTTGTGACTCTACTGATAAATGTAAGTTATTCAGGAAAATGCAGTTCATTAGGGTGTTTCTAAGTTGGTGTCACTTTAAACATATACGTAACGTGAAAAAGCAGAGAGAAACACAGAGAGAGAGGCGCATCACTGATTCATCTTTATTTAGAAATAAGCAAAGTACAAACATGGGTCTCACTAGAATGAGTCTCCACAACTTTAGGCATTCCAGCTAGGTCTCCTGCAAGGGGCAGTCCTGTTCTTTGCTTTCATTCTTCCTTCTTTTTAAAAAGCCATCCATCGTCTTTCCTCCCATCTGAAAAGGGCCTTCAATTATCTTGAAGCTCCCTCTGCTGCGCCCTGTGCACTTCAAGTTCATGATAAAGATGTTCTGCCTTCAAATGAGGCTGCGGGGACACAGGCACACAGTGAAGTGCTGCCGAAGCGGCATTCACAGCAGCCAGACATGGCGACAGCCTGGTGCCCCCCAGTAGGTGAGGGGACAAAAAGCTGTTGTACATTCACACGCAGAGTGCTCCTCGGCCATCACTAAATGTGCGACAACATGGATGAACCTAGAGCCGTGGTCAGCAAGCCACATGCAGCTCTTTGGCCCCTTGAGTCTGGCTCTTCCACAAAATACCATGGCCTGAGTCTATTTTGAAGAAGTGGCATTAGGAGAAGTATAAGTTTAAAAAATTTGGCTCTAAAAGAAATTTCAACCATTGTACTGTTGATATTTGGCTCTGTGAACTAATGAGCTTGCCGACCACTGACTGAGAGGGTATTGTGCTAAGTAAAATAAGTTGAACAGAGAAAGACAAATGTCATATAATTTCACTTATCTTTGGAAATTAAAGAACAAAATAAACAAACAAAACCAAATAAAAGACAGAAAACAGCTGAAACCGGTTTAGCTCAGTGGTAGAGCATCGGTCTGCTGACTGAAAGGTCCCAGGTTCGATTCCGGTCAAGGGCATGTACATTGGTTGCAGGCACATCCCCGGAGGGGGTGTGCAAGAGGCAGCTGGTCGATATTTCTCTCTCATCAATGTTTCTGGCTCTCTATCCCTTTCTCCTCCTCTCTGTAAAAAAAAAAAAAAAAAAAAAAAAAAAAATCAATAAAATATATTAAAAAAAAAAAAAAAAAAGACAGAAAACAAACTATCTTTTGATGGCTGCCAGAGGAGAAGGGGGTTGGAGGGCTGGGTGAAAAAGCTGAAGGAAGTAAGAACAAATTGGTAATTACAAAGTAGTTCCAGGAATGTGAAGTAATAGGAAATGTAGTCAGTAATGTGGTCAGAATTGTGCATGGGGTTGGGTGGGTACTAGACTCATGGGGACCACTTCTTAAATTATTGAGCTGTCTGACCTCTATATTATACACCCAAAACTCAGATCATCTTAAGTGTCAACTGTAACTGAAAGAGTAAATTTTTTTTAATTTAAAATAAATAAACATGAGTTTTTTAAAAAAGAAAAGTAAAGATGAATTTCATGTACTTACTTAAAAAAACAATAAAGTGCTGCTGTTCTTCTGGATCCCTTTTTGAAATCGCTACAGAAATGGAAGTGTCCTCAGGAAGGGCAGAGAGGAGAGTCCGAAGGACACTCAGCACAAGCCTTCCAGTGCTGTCTCTGCTGGCTTTCCGCTCCCTCGGGGAGTGGCATGCCACCAAGAGCTCCTGTCCACGGCCCGGTTTAACTGGCCTCTGACTCTGAAAGGGTTTGCTTAATTGACCTCCTCAGCACAGAAGGTTTAAACGGCCTACCTGTGCGTCCCCGGGGGTGTGGGCTGGAGCCGGCCATCAGCTCATAGCAGACCATCAGCATGGAGGCCAGGAAGAGCCAGAGCAGTGGCCAGGCTGCCTTCGCAGAAACTCTCATCCTAGGAGAAAGGACAGGGGCCGGGCGAGCCGGCCTCCCGGCTCTGTGGCCAGCACGGTGCAGGGGAGGAGGTGGAGGGCTCAGCCGCGCTGTGCAGTCACCGAACCCTCAACAAACACCTTCTGTAACAGGTTTCCGAGTGAGCAACGTGCCCGGGTGAAGTCTCTCTATGAACCCCCTGGTGCAGCACGGGTTGCCTGACGTACCATTTTATAGCCCAGGATTTGAAAGCTGCACCCCGAGAGGAAATTCAAATACTTGTAATTACACAGGTTTCTGCACCTGAGAGAAACCACAGAAATGTTCACACCCAGCCCAAGAGCTCTGTCCCGGTTTCGTTGGTTATTTACAAATCCTAGAGGATTGGCCTCGTAGCTTATTAAATGAATCTCAAAGTTTAATGGTGGGAATATGGGCAAGTACAGGTGGATAGAAATGAACTTCATATGGACATCTCAAATGAATAGATGAATGGATGAATATTGTTCAGCCCTGAGGGCCTCAGTTTGGATGGACCTCGATGGCATTAGCTAAGTGAGTAAGTCAGACAGAGAAAGAGAAATATGCTATGATACCATGTCTATGTAGAATCTAAAAAAGACCAACCCACAGAAAGAGAGAGCAGAGGGGTGAGAGCAGAGGCTGGGGTGGGCAAATGGCAAAATGTAGGGATTAAAGTTCCAGTGATGAAATGAACAAGTATTGGGATCTCATCTGCAGCACGAGGACTACAGCTAATGACGCTGTCTCACAATGTGGCTAAAACAGGAGGTCTTCCATGTCCTCACCGCATACACAAGCGCGCGCGCGCATGCAAACACACACACACACACACACACACACACACACACACACACACACAGTAAAAGGCTCTGCGAGAGGAACGGAGGAGGCAGCTAGTGCCATGGTGGCATCGTTTTGCAGTTCACAGACATCAAGTTGACACGTTGTACAAACATACACAATGTTATGTGACAAATACATCTCAACAAACCCGACAAAATAAATAAACAAACAATTTCATCAAAACAGTTGTTCAAAGACAATTCAGTTCACAAATGTGGTTGTGTGGTCTATTCTAAGACAAACCCAGAAAATAAAATAAAAAGAAATTATTAAAAAATGCACACCAAACACACACACACACACACACACCATTTAAACCAAGAGTTAAAAATAAACCCATTGGGAAAAAATGCACACCACCCCCTAATTTCCTGCTCCTTTTTATATTTATGGAAATTAGAACTTGATTAGCTTTTTGTTTGCTCTTTTTTAATTAACTTTTTCCAAAAGTCAGGCGCTTGGCATTGGAGACTGCGGTGGAGTTAGGCCTGCCTGGCCCCGGTCCCGTGGGGTTCCTGATAACATAATCCACCGCAGTGCATCCAGGGAACCCACTCTTTTTTTTTAATTATTTTATTTTTTTTAATATATTTTATTGATTTTTTTACAGAGAGGAAGGGAGAGAGATAGAGAGCTAGAAACGTCGATGACAGAGAAACATCAACAAGCTGCCTCTTGCACACCCCCTACTGGGGACGTGCCCGCAACCAATGTACATGCCCCTGACCGGAATCGAATCTGGGACCTTTCAGTCCGCAGACCGACGCTCTACCGCTGAGCCAAACCGGTTTGGGCGGAACCCACTCTTCATTACAGGATGTACAAACTCAACCCCGACATGGCTCATGGGGTGGACTCTGTCCGGGAACCCTGGGGGCAGAGACTGAGGGGGTCCTGGAAGGAAGGATGAGTCTAGGAACTGCCTGCCAGTGCACAGAGCCTCAGCCAGGACCTGATTCTGCCCTGCAGGGGACACAGCATTCCAGTGTCAGGTACTAGCCCTGCTCCACCTTCTTATGTGGGTGACTCTTCCTGAGTAGCAGCGAGGCCCAAGGGCCCAGAACAAGCAGTGACTTAATAAAGCAGTGACTCCTGGAGCGACGTGGGGAGGAGGGGCCACAATGGAGCAATTCCTCATTTCATCCAATAATCCAGCCCCCAGTAAAGGGCTCCTGGCTCTCACCTACTGTGCTGCTTCAGCCTCAATGCTCTCCACTGGTTTATCTTAAAAATCACACATCGCACCCCACTGAAAGCCAGAACACTGCTTTACAAACAGAAATAATTTCCAAGATGTGAACTAAAATTTAAAAAACTAGAATTCCCCAAATTCCAAAAATTAAATGCAAAGGAAGGCTTTTATAAAGAATCAGCAACTCCAGAATACTCCATTTCGCTACATTCTTAGTGCTTCGTAACGATGTCATCTCTGGATAGTGTTAGAGTTATTTTACCTGGGAGACTTCATAAGATTTGGTTCCAGGAACACAATTATTCCAGGATGTATTTTGGAGTGACTACCATTCCCATTTGTAGCGAGGACCAGCCATTTCTGCAGTTATCTTAGCTTGGAAGACCTATTTCAAAAAAAGAAAACAGGAAGCCATTAGCATTTTCATGTTGAAATGATACAAATTTCCAGTAGCAAAATAATGGTTTTTTTACAATTATGCCTGCAGTTTCAAGCAAGTGGTACACAGCCAAGCACATATACATCTGTGAAGTGTCCTGAGTATGCAGCGAGGGGGTAGGGAAAGAGGGGTATACAAAATCCCACACTCATTAACTAGCCACATATTAGTTAACAGAATACAATTTTAAAGTAAAAATTCCCTCAACAGCAAAGACATTCAAAATCTGATCGAGACTCCAAAACCATTCATAATATAAATTTCCACTCTCTCGATTCCCTAACCAAGGGTAGAAAATGGGCTTGGGGACGGTCCCTTCCCAAGAGCTCTGCAGCCTGCCCACACTCACAGCACAGGGGAAGAGCCAGCATGAAGATCTGACCTCCTGGCTTCCTGAGACATAAACCCAAAGATGGTGCTAATCCATCAGCAAGGGCTCTTTTGGAAAAGTGTTGATGTGACGCAGAGGGCAAAAGTGGTTCCCGCAGAAAACACCATTCCAAAATCCAGAGGGCATTGTCCACACTATGACTCACACTCATGTGCCCCTTTAGTGGCCAGACCCAAAAGGCCTTTGCTCCTCAGCAAAAACATCCTCACAAAGAGAACTCAGATGTTGCTAAACCAAAGGCATCTTAACAACAAAAACGGGTGGTGAAACTATACCACTTTTAACATCCTGTGTATACCACTTTTAACATCCTGTGTATACCACTTTTAATGTTGCTAAGTTAAATACGTCCCTCCCATGGTGGAGATCAACGAAAAATAATCATGTGTCAGTAGTATTAAAGTTGCAAACACAATATAAAAATTATTCTTGCCACAAAGCCTACTGACTGTAGAATCCTGGCAAAGGAGGGAAGTCAAGGATGACCGGGCCAGCAGGGGAGGGCAGTTGGGGTGACCAGGCCATCGAGATTGGGCCTAAATGGGCAATCGGACATCCCTTGATGGGTCCCAGATTGAAGAGAGTGCAGGCTGGGCTGAGGGACACCCCCCGCCCCTCCCCCCGTGCATGAATTTCGCACACCTAGCTCATTACAAATCTGCCCCAAAGCAGATTTGTTTTCTTCTCTGCAGACATCCCTGAAGATAAACGCTCGTTTGCCTTGAGAGCACATTCAGGAGCAGGCGCGTGGCCTCTGGGATGCAGGAGAGAGAAAACGTGAGGCATCAGCTCAGCCGGAGGAAAGTGCTGTCACTGTATAAAAACAAGGGGCTCAAAAACTCTGTGCTGTTCATCTCCCAGACACCGCAACCTTATTCAATATGTTTGTCCTGATGCCCACCCAAGAGCACAATGTGACCTTCTTGTATCGGAAAGAAACACACAGTGTAATTCATCAGAGCCCATCATAATGAACTCCCACAATATTGGAAGCCAACTTGACCTTTCCTATCTAATATTTATCTTATTTTCTTCACACACAAAGAGCCACTGGGGATTCTTTTCTTCAATTCATTGAAACATGGGTCCATCAGTGAAAAGTAATGTGACCTAATGGTTCATATGCCAGACACAAAGCCAGGACTTTAGTAGGCTGAGCGGTAACTCACTCAGTCAGATTCCCCACAGTGGACCCTGACACTTACGGAGAAGGAGTAACTCTTGTCATTTCCCAATGTTAGCAGCCTAATACCACCAATAATGTTGTGCATGAAACCAAAAGCATTCCCTTCCCATCACTCCCTTTCTCTCTCTTGTGTCCCAGCAATAGCGCTGCCCTTCCTGCCAGTCTGCTTCCGAAGCCGCATGTCTAATATTTTCAATGATGAGAGACACTGACCGTATTGAGACTGAAAAAAACTGTTACCATGTCCACTAATTCTCAGAAGGAATTAAAAAGACCAGCATGTGGAGGCGGGCTGCACTTTGCATCTCCCACCTGGTGTGGAGATGGTCCCTTGTTGCCACAGGAGCGTAGTCTGTTCGTGTGTCCTGGTACCAAGTGACTGAGCTGCTGAGACAGGACCATTCTTTGGATATTTCATCTGCGTCTGCGCACAGGAAGGATGCTGTCACACCAGGTTCTTACCAAGGAACAAACGCAGAGGCTTCACCTTTCCTCTTTTCCTCTACTTGCCTGCATTGCCCAGAGGACAACTCCCAAGAGGGTTACTCTTTGGGGACATAGTTATTTGCTCGGTATAGGTAACCACCCTCAGAATCTCACTCCTATCCATTTTCTTGCACCCACCTCCCCTCCACATATCAATCTGTACAGCATCAAGTTCTCACTGTCATTCTAAAAGCCTACAATAATGAAATATCCCAGGTCCTTTTAAAATTGTACAACACAATAATCTTAAACCTGGGTCTAATCATGAGTTAAAATCAGACTAATTCGAATTTGAGAGCATTCTGCAACAGAATTGCTCTATATTCTTGAAAAGTGTCAAGTTCATGAATTATATGTGTGTACATGTAAGATACATGCATGTATATATATGCAAACATATTTACACACATGTGAGGAATATTCTCAAGTAAAGGACAGACACATAACAACTAAATGCAATTGTGATCCCACATTGGATCTTGGGTGAAAAATACACACATACAGAGTTATCCTCAGAATGAACTGCACACACCACGCACATACACCCATACATATACATACACACAAACACACACCTGCGAATATACATACAATCATACACATACATAAACACATATAACAAAAACATACAGATATAGCTGTAAATGACATTATTGGGACAATTAACAAATTCTAAATATAGATGATAGATTAAATTAGTTTTGTGTCAACATTAAATTTCCTGATTTTGATCATTATTCTGTAGTTAGGAAAGAAAATGTCCTTGTTATTAAAAAATAAAAAAAAGACCTGAAATATTTAATCATAAAGGAACAGTATGGAATTTCCTCAAAAAACTAAAAATGGAACTCCCATTTGACATTTTGGACATGGTGACAGTTTTTTTCAGTCTCGATACGGTCAGTGTCTCTCATCATTGAAAATATTAGACAAGCGGCTTCGGAAGCAGACTGGCAGGAAGGGCAGTGCTATTGCTGGGACACAAGAGAGAGAAAGGAAGTGACGGAAAGGGAATGCTTTTGGTTTCAGTGATCCCACTTCTAGGAATATATCCCAAGAAACTAGAAACACCAATCAGAAAGAATATATGCACCCCTATGCTCATAGCAGCACAATTCACTATAGCTAAGGTTTGGAAACAAGCTAAGTGCTCATCAGCAGATGGGTGGATTAGAAAACTATGATACATCTACATGATGGAATACTATGCTGCTATAAAAAAGAAGGAATTCTCACCATTTGCAGCAGCATGGATGGAACTGGAGAGCATTATGCTAGTAAAATAAGCCAGGCAATGAAAGAAAAATACCACATGATCTCACTCATTTATGGAAAATAAAGAGCATTATAACCTGATGAACAAAAAGATAGATACAGAGGCAGTGAAGCATTGAACAGACTTTCAAATTACAGCGGGAGGGCTGGGGAGTGTTGGGGAGCAGGGTGGAAAGAAATCAACCAAAGGACTTGTATACATGCACTTAAGCACAACCAATGGACACAAGACACTGGGGGCGGCGGGGGTGGGGGGGTGGGATGAGGGCATGGGAGAGAGGGCTGGGGGAATGTCAATGGGGGGGAGATATATGTACTTCTATGTGTAATATTTTAAACAATAAAATTAAATTAAAATAGGGGGGGAAAAACGACCTGAAATATTTAATCATAAAGGTCAAATGTCTCCAAACTTTCAAATGATTCTGAGAGAAAAGAGAGAGAAAGGAGAAAAGGAGAAAGGAAGGGAAAAGAGAAAAATTAGCAAATTCATTAATTTATTTATGAGAAAACAAATGAGCAAAATGTAAGCAATTGGTGAAGCCAGGTGAAGGCTATATGAGAATTATTTTATTTTTTCAACTTTTCATTAAGTTGGAAATCCTATCAAAATAAGATATTAAATATTTACTTGTAAGGCTCCAGTTATTAAAATATTCTAAAGTGATTATTAATTTCTGATGCTAAACAAGGCGATTTGAGAGTTGGAGTGTTCTGGTTAATTCATTCTCTGAGAATTCACCCAAGCCCCAGAGGAGGCTTATTTGCTTGTATTTCTAAAGCATGTACATCATGCCAAGCACTGTGTTAGGCACTGTAAAATATTAACTCACTAAAATGTAGGAATTCTTTATATGCTGACATACAGATGAGGAGAGTAAGACATAGAGCAGTGACCTGCCCAGGGTCACTCGGGTAGCAAGTGCTTAATTCAGGGCTCAAACTCAAGCCACCCAACACAAGCACCTACCGTTTCAATTGTAGACATTATTTACAAAGTCCCCTCTCATGCTTCAGTAAATAGACTGAAAATAAATCTATCTTCCTTTGGGAATTCAATATGAGGATCATGTAGATGAAACTTCTGTCTGTGGACAAATGTGTATAGGCTACTGGGCTGAATTTGCTACCAGATTCTGGCTTGGAACCTTAGATATTTTATATTAACTTCTAGATAAGTTTTGCCATTTTTGAAAAGCTGGTGAAAAACAGTGGTTCTGATTTGCAGCAGATCCATTCAAGGTTTACATCATCTTTCTAATGAAGACCAAACAAGCAAGAATTCTAGAGCCCTGGCCCATGTGGCTTGCTGGTTAGTGCTGCCCCAAGCACCGTAGGATCCCGGGTTCAATTCCGGATCAGCATGCAGGAAGCAACCAAGCGGTGTGTGACTCTGCCTCTCTCACCCTCCCTTCCTTTCACTCTAAAAGACCAACAGAAAAGGTATTCTCAGGTGAAAACCCACCAGCAGAGTGCAGGCAGCTGAGCCCGGGAAGGAA